TTTTAACTTGTTTTCGAACGCGTCCGAAAATAATTGCAAAAAAATTTTTAAAACTGACTACAATTTCCAAGTCAACGTTTTTTGTTCATTTTATGAATGACTTCTTCCACACAGAAAGTTTGAAGGAAATCTGTATTCTTAAGAAATTCGACTGGTCGGTTTTTACACGGACTGCCTCTTAATAGTTATAACTTACAAATTCAAGATCATAGTGATCAGGTCATTTAAATATGATTTGTATAAATTATGAATTAAAACTTGCTACTATATACTTCACCAATTATTCATAACCATCACATATAAGCAAAATAAAGCATCACTAGATTGGCTAATGGTACATAGACATGTATCAACATAAAACAAATAATAAATCAATATTAAAATATAGATACCTTCACAATTATGTCCGTTCCCACTATAACCCTCCTTGCATCTGCATTTAAACGATCCAACTGTGTTCATACAATCTGCATTCGGATAACATGACACTTCGTTGGAACACTCATCAATATCTACAATACAGGTAATATATCTTTATATTTGCAATACATGCATGCAGCAACCCCTCACCTATATTTTCCAACCATTGCTTTATAGCAAATATAGACAAGATTTTGCCGTTGTTTGTTCAGTTACAAAGTATGACGTTTTAGTGTGGGAAGAACAAAAAAGTGCCTCACGAGCCGCCGGTATAATAAAATTAAAAAACCCGAATAAAAAAGGTAAATGGCTGCTTGTGAAACACGGAATGGGGAATCCCGAAATGGGATGGGGAATGTGAAAACCAGAATTGTAAAAGCTGGAATCTGTAAAAACTGGAATTGTACAAGCCGGAATCTGTAAAACCCGGAATTATAAAAGCCGGAAACTTCAAAACATGGAATTGTAAAAGCCGGAATCTGTAAAACACGAATTGTGAAAGCCGCAGTCTGTAAAACATGGAATTGTAAAAGCCGGCATCTGAAAAACATGGAAAAAGGGAGCACAACACTATTCTTTTCGAGACTTGCGTCTTTGTCTTCGTTGGTTTGCTAATTTGCACATAAACACTAAAACACTATTATTAAATAATTTTAAATGCCATAACCACAGCCATAACTTTCGTAATATTTTCGTATAAATAATTTCGCCCTTCGACGCGCCTTCTTTGCAGGCTATTTTACCATGGTTGTCCGCTGTACATATTGTATCGCATGTAATGGTTTTGCAAACACGCGCGAAAATTACAATTAAGAAATAATAGAGGGGAGGTAAACTGTTGGCACATCCGGTAGAATCTTTCGATAAACGCTCTAGCAAATTGCTAGGCACAGTAACTGTTGCTAGGCACAAGCCACTTCTAGATATAATTATGGAATTATGCAATCTATGCTTCAGTTCACATATTAACACGCGAGTTGATCCAATGCAAACTGTGGTTGATATGCCACATATTTGTATCATATTTAAGTACATTTATACTAGACTATCGGGTCAAATTTCGACATATCGTCATGATTTTAATTTGTTATATTTTGTGTTACTTTATTACATTATAGAAGCCATCTATTTTCCTCTCGGCTGTGCATGTTCTGTCCTCTATCTCGTGGTTTTCGTAGTTATTTTGCTTCATTTTAATTCTCACTGTTACATTCGTTTGGAGTCTTTCTGTATGCATATAGTCGTTTTTTCATGGTCATTAGGTTTGTTCGTTCATGCATGGATGTTTCGTTTGCCTCTATATCTACTGGTATCTTTAAGGTTTTCAACATTCCCGAATATTTTAACTGGCGTGGGTTCTATTTACTCGTTCTTCGTTTTTGCAACAACGCCGTTATATCACGGCCACTTTTCGTGTTTTTTAACCCACGTTCCGGTGGTTTTTGGCTGGTAATCTTTTTCAGATTCCGCCTCATTATTTGTCAACTCAGTCGATTAATAGCGTTTTCCTAATGTGTGGTCTGGCGAGGGGAGTACACTAATCAAAACCCTTCACATGTAGACGTGTTCTCGTGTTTCGGGCGCGTGCTGGAGACGTGTAATTTTCCAGAGCTTGACTGCTTTCGTACGTTAATAGGTTGTCAACGTTTTACCTTTGACTCCGTAGCAATGCCGTTTGAGCAATTATTTGGAGAAGACAAATATTATACATTTGCACTATTACCTTTGGCCGTGACATTCGTAGTTTTTGCTTTGGGCCGATGTGTCATTTGCTTTTGATGAAGCACGATTTAATAACTTTAGCGGGTCGGTCTATATATATATATATATATATATATATATATATATATATATATATATATATATATATATATATATATATATATATATATATAAAGATGTTCTAGAGTGTGTATTATATAATTTCCATACCGAGCGCAAGCAGAAAGATGTTGTCTGCCGCGGCTGGGTCTTGAACCCTGTGTGATGGTTGTAACATGTCCTCAATTAAGGAGGCACATAAATTGTTTCTGCATTCTTCTAAGGTAAGCAGATTGCTCAGAGATAATAGAAGTCCATAATCACAAAGGCCAGGACAAATTATTCGGAGGGCTTGTTTTTGGATTTTTTCTATGTTTTTCTTATGCATTTGTGTCAGATCAACACTCCAGATTTGGGCACCATACTCCAGAACAGAACGAATTACTGTACAATAGAAAGCTAATAGGTCATTTTTGGTGCACCATAACTCTTTAAAATCTTCAAGAGGTAAAGTCGCTTAGCGTCTTTTTTTACAATGTACACGGGATATTTTATCGTCGCCAATATTAATCAGTGGTATTTCTACATCTATCTACATCTACATCTACATATAATTAAGTCGGTAAAATCTACAAATGATATCACACCAACTATTTAAAACTAAAATATCTATGATGTACGGTATATAAAATTCTAAAAAAGTTCAAGTACATAGGATAAAATACATTAGTCCTGATTGTCAACTAGGTATTCTAATAGTTCAGACTTGAAAAGTTCAAAGGAATTTAACTCAGCAATCTCTGCTGGTAGACTATTCCAATGCCTTATAGTTCTAGGGAAAAAAGAATAAAAATACGTGTTCTTTTTGGCTTTGTCTTGTATATATCTATATTGATGGCTTGCGCGAGTTCTAAGTTCGGTGTTTGGATTCAGATGAGTCTCGGTGTCGACATCGATTTGCCCTCGGCTCATCTCATATAACAAGGCTAGCCGAGTCATTGTTCTTCTTAGCTCCAAGGTGGTCCATCCTAACTCGTGTAGCATGTCTGTGACACTGGCTGTGGGATGATAATTGTTGCTACAAAACCGTGCTGCTTTTCTCTGAACTCTCTCAAGAGAAGCGATGTCCTTTTGAAGATAGGGATCCCAAGCAGCACACGCGTATTCAAGTTTTGGGCGTACAATTGCCGTGTATGCAATTTCTTTCACTTTTTTAGGGCAGTTCCAAAGATTTCTTTTCATCATTCCTAAGACTCTGCTTGCTTTACTAGAGATAGTAGAGACATGATTGGATCACTTCAAATCATCATTAAAAGTGACTCCCAAGTATGACATCGATTCAACTTGTTCCAGTTTGACCCCACAGAAGGAATATACCCTCTGGGGTGGTGTTTTCTTGGTAGAATATACAATTTTAGTTAATAGTTAATACAAGATAAAAATAGTTACTATTTACAATTTAATAGTTATATTCAAGATCATAGTGATCTTCAGATCATTAAATATGATTTGTATAAATTATGAATTAAAACTTGCTACTATATACTTCACCAATTATTCATAACCATCATATATAAGCAAAATAAAGCATCACGAGATTGGCTAATTTCCTCATGAATCATTGCGTGATGGTACATAGATATGTATCAACATAAAACAAATAATAAATCAATATTAAAATATAGATACCTTCACAATTATGTCCGTTCCCACTATAGCCCTCCTTGCATCTGCATTTAAACGATCCAACTGTGTTCATACAATCTGCATTCGGATAACATAACACTTCGTCGGAACACTCATCAATATCTACAATACAGGTAATATATTTTCATATTTGAAATACATGCATGCAGCAACCCCTCACCTATATTTTCCAACCATTGCTTTATAGCAAATATAGACAAGATTTTGCCGTTGTCTGTACAGTTACAAAGTATGACGTTTTAATGTGGGAAGAACAAAAAAGTGGCTCACGAGCCGCCGATATAATAAAATAAAAAAAAACGAATAAAAAAGGTAAATGGCTGCTTGTGAAACACGGAATGGGGAATCCCGAAATTGAATGGGGAATATGAAAACCCAGAATTGTAAAGGCTGGAATCTGTAAAAACCGGAATTGCACAAGTCGGAATCTGTAAAACCCGGAATTATAAAAGCCGGAATCTGTAAAACATGGAATTGTGAAAGCCGGAATCTGTAAAACCCGGAAACGTAATGGTTTCGCAAACACGTGCGAAAATTACAATTAATAAATAATATAGGGGAGGGAAACTGTGGGCACATACGGTAGAATCTTTCGATAGACGCTCTAGCAAATTGCTAGGCTATATATATATATATATATTTGAGATCAGTGAGAATGACCACCCACCGAACCACTCACGGTAACCCACGCTCGCGCTCATTGATGAACTTTAGACTTGGCTAACGCTTTCGTTTCCCCGGGTGAAAATAGCCGGATGGAATTAGTACCCTCGCACGGCGCTTCGCGCCGTCGGCTCGGGGAAAATAATATCGATACTTGATTGAATGCCCATCATGCCTAACATCAATTTATATGTTGCGCAGGTTCTCAAAGATTTACTGGTCTTTACTTATATTCACGTCTAAAATATTTATATATTTGAAAACAACACTGTGTCGCTCCTTCAAAGCATCGTCACGTCAGCGTCAACAATTGACTGACTATATCATGGCGGATGGTCGCGAGAATGCGAGCTCCGCTGAAGTTCGAAATAATAGCCAAATTCTAGCAGAATCTTTGCTTTTGATGGCTGATAATGATTTAGAAAGCTTTATCGTCACTGATAATCGAAATGATCGATAATCGAAATCGAAATGATCGATCAGAGTGTAATTTTGATGAAATACAAAATTTCATTACTGACCTTGAGAAAGATATTGCTGCCACATCAACAGAGACTGTGAAAGCAAGGCTTGTAAAAAATTACCCTGGAAAGCTCAACAGTAAAAGGGACAAGATCGCTGACTTTTGTAAGCGTAAGTTTGTTGATTTTCCTAAAGATAAGCTTTTAAGAAGTATTAGTCGCTTAGCTTGGGAGGTAAAACTGCTATCGAGAAACTAGCTGGCGACATTATAGAATTAGTTAAATTCTGTTTGTCGAGAGAAATAACAGATGAATTTAAAGATATGTTTAAAAACTCATCTGCTAGCTGTGAATCTGCTTCTGCGAACTCACAAGATAGTGTTAGAACACATAATTCGATGAAATTGATAAATTTATAGCAATGGCGGTGAATCTGGATATCAAGTTAACTAAACTAAGAGAGGACTTTGATCAGTCAGTATCATCCCTTGTAAAAGAGGTGTCTGAACTCAAGTCTAATCTAGGGGGAAAACAAGCCAAAATTCGTGCGCTTGAATCAGAGTTAGCGACCCTTAAGGTTACAGGACACCCTTTTTGGAGTTTTGCGGAAAATCGCTACTGCGCGCTCAAAATCAGTCCGATTTTCATCAAATTTTCACCAAATGTTCGCCAGTGCATGCAAAATATGATAAAGTTATAAAATTAACAAACAATAAAATAATGTAAGAATTATTCAGGAAAATCTTAAATCGCGGTACCGTTACGCTTTTGAGTTGTGCTCCTGCTGGTTTTAAGTTATATTTATGTAAATATCATCTTTAAACAGTAAAATAGTTGTTCTAAAAAATTGTGTTCGGAAATTTTTGTTTATATCGTCATTCCGCTGATTGGCGATTTCTTTGACGACTGCAATATATTTCTGAATTGTTTGAGTGAATTGCTCTTTATTATTAAAATATCCAAAATTAGAACAAAGCCGAACACAATTTTGAAACTGACGTCTTTAGCTATGTCCTGTGAAAATTTGAAAGAAATTCGTTAAAACCCGCAGGAGCACAACTCGTTTGAAAATCAGTAATTGCCGTAAAATTCTTCGGGAGAAAATTGAATTTGAATATTACATTTTCAATGTTTTTCTTATTGCAGCGAAATGTATTTTATTAAATAACTCTGCGAGTTTTCAACATTTTTCGTTCAAACTTGGTCTGGTAGTAGAACTAGGCTAATGCTTTCATGAAGACCAATAAAAAAAATTTAGGCAAAATTAACACTCAAAGGTGTTCTGTAACCTTAAGGGAAATTATAAGTCAGTTATAGAAAATACAAAGGGCAAATTGGAATCTTGCGAGATCGAGCAAAATAAACATGCACAAAATTTAAAAATACACGATTGTAATATTCAAAAATTATTCAAAGATCTGGATAAGTATAGAAAAGAAACAAAAGCTACCGGCAAAAAACAATCAATTAATAAAGGTCCATTAGCAACGACTTCCGAATGCGATAGTTCGCTTTGTGAAGCTAATAATGCCAATGCGATAATGCCATAGTAAATAATGCAAATTTGTGTGCTGAAAATAACTCAGCATCGAAATCTAACTCTAACGATAATACCTTATCGCAGAAATCGAGTAACCAACTGCAGAAATCCCAGGCGGAACCTCGCTGTGCAGACGAGCATGAAAACTCAAATATAAGTGAAACCGCTAAAAATCAAGTATCTATAAACAAAAGGTTATCCAACCCAGAAAACACAGGAGATTCTTGTCATACATTGTTTACCATTAATGAGCAATCGCCTAATTCGTGGGCGAAAAAAGGAAACAAAGAAAGTCAACCATCCGTGTCAAATGCAAAGCCAGATGCAAATACTGATTAAAGTAACAGACCCCTTGTCAACACAGTCACAGAACAAAACACTAACTCGGACAAACAATCAGAACAGTCAATATTTCAAAATAAGAAAACAAATGATAAAGTAAATGCAGAACTTCTGCAATAGATAAAACCGCTACTGAGGACAATTTAAATGAACATGAGATTTCGTTGGGGTACAATATATGAAAATAAAACGGCTATATCTCGGAGGCGTAAGTCTGGGCACAAGAATAGAAAAAAATTAAAGAATACATGAAGCAAAGAGGCATTTCCGAGATAGATAGATCGATAGATAGATAGATATATTAGATAGATAGATAGATAGATAGATAGATAGATAGATGGTTTAATGAACTTTAGAACTTACAGCCTCAGAAAATTTCACAGCTGAATTACGCTAAGTTTAACAGACATAAGATATTAAGAATATATGCTATGAACCCTATTTACATTTAAAAATTAAAAAATCAAATCAACTATCTAAAATGTATATTAGAATTGTGCATGATAAAACTGTCATTAAGTCTGTTCGTTTTACACGCAAGAAGTTCAAAATTTCTATGATTCCTTAAAAAGTGATCGTCGGTATTTCATGGCGGGAGGAGGTCGTATAAATTATGATGTAAGTTGCTGGCTATTTCGTTAAACAACTTCGTTGTTAATTTTTGTCTTCGATCGTTCAGTGACAAAATGTTCTTGGTCTCCAAGACATCTTTGTAGTGCATACCAGGAAAAATTATGCGAAAAGCACGTTTTTGCAGTTTTTGGAGTCATCGGACAGGTACTGCGGCAGCGAGTTATGGAATACTTCGCACGCGTACTCGACAGCTGGACGAATACAGATGATTTAAAACAGGACCAGATCGTTGGGTGGCAATTTGGCACGTTTTAATTGTCTTAGAAAATATAGCCGTGTTGATACCTTTTTACAAGTATTCGAAATATGAGTGTTCCATTTGAGATCATTAGAGATGGTAAGGCTCAGTAGTTTTGTAGATGTTACGACCTCGACATTTTTATCATTAATAGTTATGGGCTCAAATACTTTGTTAGGCCTAGAAAACAAAGTATTTGAGCCCATAACTATTAATGGTAAAAATGTCGAGGTCGTAACATCTACAAAACTACTGGGCCTTACCATGGAATTTTTAACAGCAAAAGAAAAGGCACAATTGCTGTGCGAGTTAACATTAACGAGGAAGATTTTGATTGTGTATGTAACAATGACTTTTGGCCAAATCATGTCTATGCTAGGCAGTGGTTGTCAAAACAAAGTTGGGAAAAAAGAGGTGTAATACATAACCAAAATACGAGCCAACAAAACTAAATTTGGGTTGGTGGAATTGCGGTGGAATATATGGTAATTTTATTTATGCAAGAAAACTCTTGCAGAAATTAGACGTGTTAGCTTTAAGTGAACATTGGCTGTACAAAGATGAATTGTCATTCCTAGACAGTCTCAATGACAATTTTAGTGTTATTTCGTGTACCAGTTCGGATAATAACATCAGGGAAAGGTGGAAAAGAGGACAAGGCGGCGTTGCTTTGCTCTTAAAAAAACCCTTAAAGTTCGAGAAATACAAACAGCGTCTGATCGATTGGCATCGGTATCATTTAAGATTGAGAATATTAATTTTGTTATTTTAGCCGTATATTTGCTTTCAAGAAACAATGATCTAAAAGAATACATGAAAACTTTAGATACTTTGGAACAGTTTTGCATACGTCACAAGTCATGCGGAACAAAGTTGTTACTGCTAGGTGATTTAAATGCACACATTAAGGAAGATAAGCTGAGCCAAGATTGGAATAACAGAGGCAAAAGATTACAACCATTTCTGAGTAAAATGAAACTGGTCGCAGTTAAGGTTACAGGACACCCTTTTTGGCGTTTTTCGGAAAATCGCTACTGCGCGCTCAATATCAGTCCGATTCTCATCAAATTTTCACCAAATGTTCTCCAGTGCATGCAAAATATGGTAAAGGTGTAAAAATAACAAACTATAAAATAATGTAAGAATTATTCCGGAAAATCTTAAATCGCGGTACCGTTAAGCTTTTGAGTTGTGCTCCTGCTGGTTTTAAGTTATATTTATGAAAATATCATTTTTATACAGTAAAATAGTTGTTCTAAAAAATAGTGTTCGGAAATTTTTGTTTATTTCGTCATTCCGCTGATATGGCGATTTGTTTGACGACTGCAATATATTTCTGAATTGTTTGAGTGAATTGCCCTTTATTTTTAAAATATCCAAAATTAAAAAAAAGCCGAACACAATTTTGAAACTGACGTCTTTAGCTATGTCCTGTGAAAATTTGAGAAAAATTGGTTAAAACCCGCAGGAGCACAACTCGTTTGAAAATCAGTAGACTCAGTAATTACCGTAAAATTTTTCGGGAGAAAATTGAATTTGAATATTACATTTTCAATGTTTTTCTTATTGCAGCGAAATGTATTTTATTAAATAACTCTGCGAGTTTTCAACATTTTTCGTTCAAACTTGGTCAGATAGTAGAACTAGTCTAATGCTTTCATTGAAACCAATAAAAAAATTTTAGGCAAAATTAACACTCAAAGGTGTTCTGTAACCTTAATTTGTCTCCATGGTGCGAGAACCCCCGGTTTACATATCTCTCAAATACGGGAAACTCCATTGTAGACTACATTTTTGTCGGAAACGACGTAATCGAGCATGTTGACTTAGTGCAAGTACCCATGCAAAAAGCACCAAGACAACATAGCATTTCATTTACCAGTAACCATTAGTATAAATTTACACTCGGATGTGTCGGAAGAAGAAACCAGCAATGACAACACGAATTATTTATTTGAAAAGATATTGTGGAAAAGCTGCACCACGGAACACCTTCATAGCTACAATCAAAAACTGGTTAATTCGGCAACTGATCTGCTAAGCAAAGATTTTTCAGACATTGACAATTTTTATGAGGAGCTGAGTAATTTAATAAAGAGCGCGACAATGATCCTACCACGGGTTCAATATAAGAAACATATAAAATCGTACTGGAATAACTGTCTTAAAGAAGCGAAACGTTCCGTTATGGCTGCGAGGGCAAAATGGAAAAAAGAGGGATCCCGAGGGCCTCAGAAAACGTTTATTATAGACAATATAAGAAAGCCAAGACTGCATATAGGAAGGCACAACGTAGAGCTGTTTGGGAATACGAAAGAGAAGAATTCAATGACATAGCCAATTTTACAGAGTTAAATCACGAGACGTTTTGGTAACTGATCAACACCAAAGTACGTAGGAAAAATAAAAAATAAAAGGTGGTGGCTTTAGAGGTGGATAATGCCGTGCTTACGAACCTCCAAGTAGTCGCAGATCTCTGGGCAAACTATTACGAGAAGTTAGCTATCCCTCCGGAACATGTGAACCAAGAAGACATGAAAAGTAAAGTTGATGAAATTTTTGAAAAACTCAGAGAGTATGTATGACTATACACTTAATTATTCTATAACAGCTGAGGAAATCATTTCAGTAATTAATACTCTTCCGGAGGGAAAATCACCCGTTATAGATAGAATTACATATGAACATATTAAATATGGTGATGCAATTATTGTAGAACAGCTACTGAAATTGTTTAATTATATTATCGAGCTTGAAGAAATTCCAAAATCTTTCAAAATGGCGATTATTAAAGATCCCTATTCCTAAAGGCAATAAAACTTCACGTACTTTTGATAATCACAGAGGAATCAGTTTGTTGCCTTGCATAAATCAAATGCTTGAGAGAATTGTATTATCACGACTGCAGAAGGAAGAAAAGTACTCTCACCAAAGAGAACAGGACGCTCTAACAACGTGTTTCGTCATCGATGAAGTAGTAAATCATTGTCGCGAAGAAAAAGAAAAAGTTTAAGTAGCGTATATGGATATTACAAAAGCGTTTGATACCATGTGGATTGATGCAATGTTATTCAAGCTGCACTACAACAAAGGAATTGCGGGGAAAACATGGAGGCTTATTAAAATTGGTATATAGACATGAAAGAGTTTGTATTTATCCTGTCTAACCCTGAAATCCGGGTTAGACAGGATGCTAAAGACTGCATGGGAATATAGCCAAAAATGGAGATTTAATTTTAGTGTTACGAAAACGGTTATATTAGTATTTGGAGAGAGCCAGCAAGAACATGAAGCAAACAATAGGTCGAGAGTTTGGAAACTGGGTTTTCAGATTTTATCTGAAAAGGGGTCGTGGTCAAATCTCGGAAAACTTTGGCTTGCAAAGAGAGATAGTAAGGGAATCGTCTCAAAAGCAACATGTGCGCGTAGAGAAACCTATTTTATGTTGAAGGCTGTTGGTACTCGCTACGGAGGATTAAATCCTATGGTTTCGTCAAATTTATGGCGTAAGATTGGCATTCCAAAGTTCCTGTATGGATCAGAGCTCTGGCAGCTGAAAACGAAAGATTACATTGAGCTAGAAAAAGTCCAAAATATCATGGTCAGGATCATGCAGCAATTATTACCAGGAACGTCTGGGTCTGCGGCACGGGGACTTCCCGGCTTACTTTCAGTTGAAGCTGAGATAGATAAGCGAAAACTTATCTTTTCGAATCTTATCTAACGAATCGTTTGTTGACGATTCCAAGATATATTTGTCATTCTCTGTCAAAGAATTGTCAGACGCCAAACATAAACTTGAGACTGACCTTCGCCTTGTAGGCGAATTGTGTTTCAAAAATTCATTATTGATTAATCCCGAGAAAACCAAGTTTCTGTTAGTTGCTACGCGACAGTTACTAAATTTACTATCAGATGATATGTCTTTGAATTTTTTAAATAAGAAAATCGTTCCTGTCACTTCGATAAGCGACCTTGGAATAATCCTGGACCGCAACTTGACATATAACGAACATATAACCCAGCTCTCATCAGAGTGCATGGCTAAACTGTGTCAAATTAATCGTGTCAAACATTGTTTTGATCAAAAGACGCTGATTTAAATCATCTGCGCGTTAGTTATGTGTAAATTATATTACTGTTCAACAGTTTGGTCCAATACGAGTTCTTCAAATATTAAGAGACTACAAGCCGTCCAAAATTTTGCGTGCAGAATTATAGCTAATGGTAAAAATTTGATCATACTACACCAATCCTTAAAGATGTTGGTTGGCTCCCTGTTAAAGGGCACCTCTTGTTCAAAGATTTGGTCATGATCTACAAATGTATAAATAGTCTCCCTCCAACATATCTGTGCGACCTATTTCTTAAACGTAAGGAATTAAACAATCGCGTCACAAGAAACAATGAAGCACTACATATTCCCCTATGCTCAACCACAACTGGGCAAAGAAGTTTTCGATATAGAGCTGTTGGGTTATGGAATAGTTTAGACAATGAGTTGAAAAAACTCCATCAGCAACATTTAAAATCAAATTAAAAGGGTTCTTACTAAATCGATATTTTGAAACTTGAATATTTATAGTATATATAAACAGTAGTTTTGACATGCATGCAAGAAACTTATTCTTATTGAAATTTATTATATTGCGCTACATTTAAAGTACTATTTAATTTTTAAAGCACGCGTAGGAGTGTTTTATCACATATAAAACACGACGCGTAGCGGAGTGTTTTATATGTGATAAAACACGACTACAAGTGCTTTAAGTGGCTTAAAAAACGACTTATCTTATACGAGTTCATTGGCGAAGTAATTTTTAAAATAAACTTTGTCTAAACCGAGAAAATCAAAGCTAAAATTTATGTAAATTAACATGATTTTTTAACACATATAAAACCACGACACGCTTATGAATTTTCTTTGTGTTTTGCTCCTGAATTATTAATGAGTTTTTTAACTATTTATAAATTCCTTTTGCAATTATTTTTATAAACATTAATTAAGCTGTATAAAGTATCATTTGTAAATAAGTATTGAAAAGCCCTGCGGGGAATACTTCCAATAATAATAATAATAATAATAATAATAATTGTAATAGACCTTTCCAAAGTTTCTACCGCCATATTGCAGGGGGTGCAAAAACATTGGGGCGAGCGCGCGGCCACCAATGACGCCCATACTATTTCCTATTGAGTGAGTGAAAATTACCTTTTGACAGTTTGTCCGTTTCTCAAAAAATTTCTATACAAGCATATCCAATTTTTATAATCGCTGGGTTTTTTCTGATATGTGGCCGAAATTTCTTGCTAATCGAAGGACAGGAAGTAATAAAAAACGGCGGCTTTTATTGTACAACTTGACCGAGTTTGAGCGATGATTTTTGTACAAATATACAAATATAAACAGTAATAATGGCGGACACCAAAGGACTTACACACTTAATGGACAAATATTCTTCCAAAGATCGGTTAAACAAACGAAATAACAAGAATCATCGCTCAAACGTCGGTCAAGTTGTGCAACAAAAGCCGCCGTTTTTTATTACTTCCTGTCCTTCGATTAGCAAGAAATCTCGGCCATATATCAGAAAAAACCCGGCGATTATCTAAAAATAAAAATTGGATATGCTTGTATAGAAATTTTTTGAGAAAAAGGACAGAATGTCAAAAGGTAATTTTCACTCACTCAATAGCAAATAGTATGGGCGCCATTGGTGGCCGCGCGCTTGCCCCGATGTTTTTGCACCCCCTGCAATATGGCGGTAGAAACCTTGGAAAGGTCTATTGTAATTGTAATTGTAATTGTAATTGTAATTGTAATTGTAATTGTAATAGTAATAGTAATAGTAATAATAATAATAGTAATGGAAACTTTATTGAATTTTTTTTATGCACTTACAATTGAAAATCTCACTGTTAAACGTAATTTACAATTGGCTACTTGATACACTATACATTACTACATTTACATAACACATATGGTCATAATAGTATATGATACAAAAAGTAACAGACTAACTAGAAGTTCATTAAATCTGGATTCGACCAATCCTTGTTTCTACAACAGAAAACGTAATATGTGGTTCTTATTGCAATGTTATTTTCCTAATGGTATATTTAACACAGGCCTTATCTGAGTTCAAATGTTCCAACATTTGTATAAAATCTGACGATTCTTTTTCAAAAACACCGAGTGCACTGATTGAGAGGTTAATGAACTTTACCGGCCGGAATTTTTTCTTTTGTTCTACGATCATCTCTTTATATTTTGAGTATTTGCGCTGTATATTATTCCTTAGGTTAGTCTCATATCCAACGGTTAGTTCGAGTACATATAGACAATTGTCTTTGGTCAAAATTAGGAGATCAGGACGAAAGTCATCGCCAGTAATAACAGAGGGGTTAGGGAATGATGGTAATTCAGCATAAATGGTCTGAATATGTTCTGATGGGAGGTTATTAGCAATAAAATTTAGGATTGAGTCGTGTCTCCAAGTAAATCGATCAGGATAGGAACTACAGCCAGCAACAACGTGTAACAGAGATTCAGGTTTAAGGCAAAACGAGCAATAATAATAATAATAGTAATAATAATAATAATAGTAATAATAATACAACCTTATTCATCATTTCATTATATACAATAATTCTTTTGTTATCAATGACTATATTAAATAATCTGTTCTTTGGGTATAATTAAAAAAGTGTCGAAATGTTTGTTGATATGTACAGTTAAATTTTAAAAACAAACTCTGGAACATATACCGCAACATAATTAAAATATTTACCGCTAAGTAGCTAAATAACTAAACTAAGATATTCCGCTAAATAACTAAACAACTAAACTTTGTATATGTACAATCTAAAATGTTTGAGAGATAGCACTCTCGGCGTTCTCAATGTTGAAATCAATGTTCTTAATATCATACATGATTTTCCTTGCCCTTGAACCCCTCAAGCAGGTAAGTGCCGATCTCAATAAAGCGAATGAGGTTCTTGCTCTTATCCAACTCATAGTTGTCGCATAATCCTCGCCTTTCTTCATGGCGACCAACTCTGCCAATCGACTATGGTATCTCACACATTCTTTCCCCATACCGCCTGTGGTGGTGAATACGAGTGGCGTAAATGTTCCTTGCTCTATTTCGAGGACTCTCCTTGCATATAGGCGCTTCTTTTCGTTTTCGTGTATCTTGTAGACTTGGCGTAGCTCCAGGTCCTTGTACGAATCAGCATTGGGATGACAAAACCTTACATCAAAAAAGGCTGATCGTTGACTTTCCCAGAACCCACGCGCACGAATGTCGAGTCCAGCATCAGATGCTCTGTTGGAGCCTCCGTTTAGTTGCTCTCCCGAGATGTCTTGTAGAACAGGCTCAACTTGGACTTCACTACAGACAATGTTGAGGAGTTCCGCTTCCAAATCTCTTAACTCATTGTGGCGCATAATTACAAAGCCTCCACGTTTGCAGATCATGGCATGGTCAACCGTGAAGGTATCTCCACATACACATATGGAGGGGATGTCGTCGATTGGCCAATCATAGCGCAGCTTTACGGCGTCCCGAAATTCTCTCTTATTCAAGTTGAATCCCTGCTCTTTTAGGAGAAGTGCTGTGAGCCACACAGATGATCCTTTTTCCGAAGCCACATCTAATATACGCTGAATTCTTGGTGGTGTACTCTCTCTAATACGTTCTGCCCTCTCCTCCCACTCTTGCACTCTTTCTTTTCTAACGGCTTGTTGCGCTGATTTTATATGCGACTCGTCGGGTAGCCGATGGAACTGCGGTACAATCTGATCAACAAGGGGTGCTGTCACTCTTTTTGACGACACATACTGACGTTCTGCCTCATGACTTGGATTTTCCAAGCCCAGACCACCCAGACGTGCTGGAAGTGCTAGAATGTCCCGATCGAGTGGATTGCACTGGTGATCTGTAATAGCGGGGATGAGAATCTGCCATATTGCCTTTTCGAGTGCCTCTAGTAGGTCCTGGATGTCTGGCAGGGTTCTTAGGAAGTAGGTCCAACGATGTTTCAAACCAAATGCGTATGCGGCATAGGACGCTTGTGGTTGGGACAGTGCAAATTCGGCTAATTCTGTCACTTCGTTGACCCAATTAGAGACCTTCTCATTAACATATTCCTCCAGATACTCTCGTGAACCTAGCGCTGCTCCCAGATGTTTCTGCCCATGCACTGTTACATTGATATCCGTTCCATGGAAGACTTCTCTCACACTTTCTTCCTTTTCTGGCTTAACAATAATCCAGCATTTCTCGTCTTTCGGAAAATATCCCAAATTTGGACCAAGAGTATTCAATGCATCCCACCAATCAACTGTAAATGTTGTCTTAAATTTGCCTTGGCAAAACTTCCCATTTCAAGTCTATCCAGTGTAACAAGTGCCCAAGAAACATCAGTCAGTGCTTTTGCAGTTTGCGGTTTTGTGGCAATTTGTCGTCAGACAAAGAACATTCATCTATTTCTGCAAACTAGTATATACCAAATAGTTGTGGCAAAATTATCGGAAGAATACGAAAATATTTTTAAAAATTGCACTCTAGCTTACGTGAAGATTTTGAACTCCATTTTTTTCCAACAGCAATATTATTCAGTTGTCATTACTGATTCATGCGATCATTTTGGCTGAGGTTATGTCCTTCCTACTGCAATGATTTTCTAAGTCTTCATCACCTCCTGTACATACCTTCGCAAACAATTCCATTTCCAGCATATCCACTCCTACAAGTACAGAAGAAAGATCCACCATTGTTGGTGCATATTGAGTTTTTATGACAATTGTCAATTGACGAATAACATTCATCAACGTCTACAGAAATATAAAAGCAGTGGCGTTAAAACACTACGAAGATATAAATATTTTTCTTTTGTGAAAGAGATTAAATGTGCTATGCAACATAGCTAGTGCTATGTTAAAAAATTGCGACTTTTATTTACCTTGACACAGAGTTCCATTTCCAGAATATCCATTTTTACAAGTGCACGAGAAAGATCCATCAATATTCGTGCAGTTTGAGTGTAGGTCGCAGTTATCAGCAGATAGAGAACACTCATTAATATCTTAAAATATACAATAAACTTTCGAGCTCGAAATCTAATTTTAACAAGTAATGCCTTCTAATTAGTAAATTTGATCTTAAATTTACCTTGGCAAAAAGTCCCACTCCCAGTGTATCCACTGTCACAGGTGCACAAGAAAGATCCATCAGTGTTGTTGCAGTTTGCGTTTTTGTGACAATTGTCGACAAACGAAAAACATTCATCTATGTCTACAAAAATATGGCAAATAGTTTTGGAAAAATAATCGAACGGACTAAGAGTGTTTTTAAATATTTCACTCTAGCTTATGTGCAGATTTTTAACCATCTTTGTTTCCAACAACAATTATTCAATTGTCATTACTTATATTCAAGCGATCATTTTGGTCGCGATTACG